CCATGTCTGAAGACTTACTGATAAGTCCTTCAGAAATGACACTGGAATCATCTTGCTCTGCTTTAGATACAGAATCTGTCATGTCACTCTTAAATGAAAATATCACAGACATGTCAGCAAGTTTTTGTTCATCTGTCAGTCAGATTGCGTCTGGAGGTCAAGGAGAACAAAAAAACCCAATCCTGGCAAAACATGAAGAAGGAGACGCTCCATTTGTACCTAAAAGCCAATTTGTATCAAACGATTCATCAGAATCAAGATGTGATTTATTGGATTTAGCAGAAGATGCCATCACAGCATCTAGAACTGAACCTAAAATTCCACTTGATTCAAAACATTCATTTACCATGTCATCTTTTTGGAGTGAGATGGAGAAGCTGACAATAAATGACATCCTGGATTTGCGAAGGATGAACAAAGCTGTTTCGTCAAGCAGCCTTCCACCTTTACAGGAAAATGAGCAGACTGACTCGGGCTTTTTTACGCAACTGGATGAGCCCAACCCCAAGCAAACCAATGAGTGCACGTCGAATGTTCCCGATTCTGCACAATCAAGTTTAGCTTCTGTTACTACATTTGATTCATCCTCTTCAGGAAGTGTCATGTGGGAGAGTGAACCTGTTCCATCGAGTCTAGGTGCTGATATTTACCCAGAGGATATGTTATTCACATCTGTCGATGACATTTCTCAACCAGCCCTCTCTGGAAGGCAAATTTCTAAGAATATTAGTATGCACAATCTATATGCCCTAGAATCTGAATCTTTCAGCTCCACATGGAAAGGTCAAACTTTACCTACCTTAGACAAAGGAGAATTAGAAAAAGTAGAGTACTTTACTGATGAACATGCAACTAAGGAAGACACCGACTCTTTGCCTTCCTCTTTGACAGACAGCTACAGAACAACTCTTGTGGATATATTTCAGTACCTCTTTGGTGTAAAGCAATCAGTTCCCAGCCATTCAGCTCCAGATAACATAACCACCTTCTCCACTGATGGAAATTCTGTCCCTGAAACCTATGATCATTTTTTCTCAGAGTTTGATACCGAAAGTCTCTTCTGCCCTCTCATCACAGCAGATCAGGAGAAAGACAATCTGGTTCCCATCTTTTCCTGTTCTCGTTCAGCTAATAGAAATCTTCAGTTCCCTGAGGCTTATGATTATTTCTTCACATCATTGTCTTCAGATGATTCTTCTGATGAAGAGGGAGATAACTGTGGTCCTGTGAGGGTGGTGACCAGGTTCAGCCATAAGGCAAACACATCTCAGATTTCCACAGACATTTATGAGAATTTCTACACAGATAATGACCTTAGACAGAATTTCTTCTGGAAAGGAACACTCTCCTTCAGGAATATAAATTTGACTGCATCTACAATTCAGAAGCAGACTCTCTCAAGCTCTCAGTCTATTGTACCTTTGAGGCAAAGTAAAAGATCCCTTCGATCCACAGTTTGTCCAAGTAATGTTCTTGGAAATCAAGATGTAGTGTTTTCTGATCCACTTCTCTGCTGCCTGGAGGACAGGATCTCCAGGCAGTTAGCACAGTGGCCCTTCAGATGCGAGGACCTACAGATGGCTGTTTCCACTCCCAGTAAGTCTAATTTCACACATTGATGCATCATTGAAAATATTAATTAGGTTTTAATATCTGCTGTAAGAGCCATTATGGATTACTATGCAGTAGCAAAATAAGTATGCAAGTCATTTTCTGGAGTTAAAACAGAAATGGCTTAATTTAGGATCCATTATGAGTGGTTTGGGGACACATGTTCAATCCAGAAAAACTTCATTGTTGTTCACAAAGCAGGGCTGTAAGGGTTTGCACAATACAACACAGTTCCAGCTATCTGCTAATTACAAACTAGGATCATAACAAAGATCCTAGTTATGTTTTTAAAAGAGAAATTTGACAGGAATTTACTCTTACAATTGAAAGGATCATCTGTGATTAAAATATAAACAAAAGTGTAGGACCCTCACAAAAATTCAAAATGTGAAGTTTAGATCTGGTATCATGCTCAGATTGATTAAAGAGGACCTATACCAGGTGACCAGGTCACAGTATGACAGAACAGTCCCAGCATACAATTATGGGGTTATGCTCAGCTGTTGGTGTCTTAATGCCAATTATAATATCCCTGAATTCCCACAGGACTCTTCTGTGTATGGCTTTATCATCTTATGTACTGCATTTGTATGAACAAATATGATTCAAAACAGTTTTTAATGTAACATTGTTATCTTTGAAGGGTTGGATTCCTCCCTCCTGCCTCTCAGACAGTCAGATATGTGTCTGGTTTGTATTGCTTTTGCTTCATGGGTGCTGAAGACTGCAAACCCACAAGTGGGAGATGCCTGGAAGGCGGGTATGTACAGCTGAAATCAGAGGTTTACATATTCTTAGGTTGAAGTGTATGACACAAGTAATTTTTCCATCAGTTGTTTGATTATTTCACTTATTTACTAAATCACAATTCCAGTAGGTCAGAGGTTTACATACACTCAGTTGACTGTGCCTTTAAACAGCTCAGAAAATTTCAAAAAATGATGCAATGGCTTTAGAAGCTTCTTATAGGCTAACGGACATAATTTGAGTCAATAGGAGGTGCACTGGTGGATGTATTTTAAGGCCTACCTTCAGACTCAGTACTTCTTTGTTTGACATCATGGGACAATCAAAATAAATCAGCCAAGACCTCAGAAAAAAAAATCATACACCTCCACAAGTCTGGTTCATCTTTAGGAGCAATTTCCAAACTACTGAAGGTGCCACTTTCAGCTGTACAAACAATATTATGCAAGTATAAACAACATGGGACAATGCAGCCATCATCCCGCTCAGGAAGGAGACGCATTCTGTCTCCTGGAGATGAACGTACTTTGGTCTGAACAGTACAAGTCAATCCCAGAACAACAGCAAAGGACCTTGTGAAGACACTGGAAGAAACAGATACCAGAGCATCTATAGCCGAGTAAAACGAGTCTGATGTTGACATAACCTGAAAGGCTGCTCAGAAAGGAAGAAGCCACTGCTCCAAGACTGCCATAAAAAAGGTAGACTATGGTTTGCAGCTACACATGGGGACACAGATCTTACTTTTTGGAGAAATGTCCTCTGGTCTGATGAAACAGAAGTTAAGCTGTTTGGTCATAATCACTGTTGTTATGTCTTGGGAGGGGGCTTGCAAGCCGAAGAACACCATATCACCAGTGAAGCATGGGAGTGGCAGCATCAAGTTGTGGGGGTTCTTTGCTGCAGGAGGGCCTGGGGCACTTCACAAAATAAATGGCATCATGAGAAAGGAAGATTATGTGGATATATTGAAGCAACATCTCAGGACATTGGCCAGGAATTTAAAGCTTGGTCTCAAATGGGTCTTCCAAATGGACAGTGACCCCAAGCATACAGCTGTGGCAAAATCACAAAGTTTCAAATCATCACAAAGGCCTGACCTCAATCCAATAGCAAATTTGTGGACAGAACTTAAAAAGTGTGTGTGCACAAGTAGGCCTTCAAATCTGATTTAGTTCCACCAGTTTTGTCAGGAGGAGTGGGCTAAAATTCCAGCAACTTATTGTAAGAAGCTAGCAGAAGGTATCCCGAAACATTTGATCCAAGTTAAACAATTTAAAGGCAAATCAACAAAACACCAGAAATAAAATATAATATTGGGCTTGAATGTTTTATGAGTAATACAGTGACTAATAATTCATTTGTATTTTTTCACAGTTCTGCTGGCAAATGTAAGTGCTCTGTCAGCCATCCAGTACCTGCGTAAGTACGTCAGAAAGGAGGCAGCAGCCGCTGAGGAGAAACTGAATCACTCTGCCTCTGCTTCTTAATGCGTCATGGTTGAAATGATCTGTTTCCAAGAACCTGAGTCCTTCAAGGAATATGACAACTGTTTGATGTGTTGTTACATGTTTCCACTACATATTTGCCACTACATAAGTGCCTCTATAAAATGGAAATGGTGACAGGTTAACAGCTATTGTTTTGCTTCTTTTGACCTTTTAATGTCTGAAAGCTCTTGTATGAAATATAATTTGACCAAAGGCAGGATGAGACATATATTTATCTGCAACAAGCCTCAAGACAGGATCTAGACATTTGCAAATAAGATTTCAGTATGTACTGAAGGAAGATTAGAAGCAGGTTACAGCAGAGCTGTAGAGAACCGAGATGTTAAATAATGTGATAAATGGATTAACTTGAAGAATTTAGGATGGTGCTCTTTGTTTTTATTCCATTAATATAGCATATGCTCCTATCTAAAATGATTGTGTAAAACATTGTCAATAACTGAAAATATTTTACAAAATAAATGCTGATGATAATGAGATAATATGAGGTGACATCTGTTGTAATGTAAAACACTCAAAGTGTAACTCAGTTAGGGGACTATTCTGTGCCAGTATTATAGATTTTATATTATATTTTGTTTTATTTTTCATAACCTATAGATGACTGTACAGTATTTAATCATATGGCTTGCTCTGTGTGATTTCTTCTGGTTCATCTAAAGTAAACATATGCGTCCTGCTGTTTTTCCACAAGCACTTAGACCTGAAGTTGAAACTTTCAAACACTAGAGGGCGACAAAGCTCATACAAAAACCTGAACTGGAGTGTCACAGCTACTTGAGCTGCAGTTAATAAATGACAAGTGCTTATTCAAGTATTCAGAGAAGATCCTTTTTTAACCAAAGGAAGCTTTAGTAATAGGTTTGAGCAAAAGATCCAGGGTGTGCATCATTCATGATGGATGACATGTTTGCTGTTTGTTTTGTTAGTTTTGCTGTGTCCAGATATAATAAGTTATTTGATCTGCAGCTATCATTTCTCAGTACATTACTTCAAAACTTACAGTATTAACAGTATATTCTTTTCACATACAATAAGTTTAAGATTATAATTTGAACAAGACCAAATGGAGATAGTCATTGATTTATTGTTTTTCCAGTTTTATTTTAAAATATAAATAAACACCTCAAGCAAAAAGGAGAAAGGAAGCCACACAGATATCAGTACTCTGCAGTAGTGATAGCAATATTAAGATATTTAAGGCAGTCAGTCAGTCATCTATTTGCCTAGACAGTGTAGTATAATAAAATAATAAATGTATAACATTTGCAAAATATACATCCTTTACTAGAGCAAGCCCTGATGGAATGCCTTTTATAGGTTAAGTAGAAACAATAGGAACTATAAACATAACAGTATGCTAGAAAATACTGTATTAAAAATAGGACACTTGCACTACATATGAAAACTTCAGTGCAATTATGTAATACAGTAAAAAATAAAATTAAAGCTACACAGTTTGTACACTTTTTTTCTTGAATGCTACATATCAAACAGACAGCTGAAGTCTGTCTCTTATCACTTTCATTGTGTTGTTTTACCTATTCTTCTTCATATCTATGCCCTTTATTCCGTTACTTAACTGCCCAACATTTCACAATGCAGTTCATGGGATTGTTTTATTTTTATTTTTTTCCAGGCGGTCACTGCACTGCATAAAAATTACAGACTGTGCTAGTTGGCTTTTATTAGCCCTCTGACAGAGATCTGTTGTTTGCACACGTCCAGACAAGTGCCGACCTTTTTTTTTTTTTTTATGACCATCTCTGCTGCATTGCCATGGCACCGAGGCCCCTGGCCCCATAGTCTAATCCTGTCCAGAGCGACGAAATTCCACACGCTGGCTGAATCATTCCAGTATTACAGTCATACTCCCAAATGTTGTCATAGTCCATTTCCTGGTCATCTGGTTCTGTGGGTTCGAGGTATGAATGGTGATCTATAGGAGTGAGAGAAGATTCCCAGGCTTATAATTTCAAACAGTGAAAGAGAAAACCTCACCCTGACTGAATAAACTTTGACACAGTGCCCACAGTGCATTCTTATGATGTGATCGGCCTTGTCCCAACATACTGTATAACATTACTGTAAAACCGGTAGTGAACCATACTACTGCTACACCAGCTTCATTTATTATAATGGTACATAACATAAAACCTATCTGATAAAATGAATCAGTCTTAACATACTTAAGAATCAATCTACAATCCTCAGGTGAATTTTAGTTTTGTATGGATATGGGATAAAGGAGCTTGTAGATATGAGTGTAGCCCAGTTGTGTGCTGTCAGTCACAGTACAGGAACAGTGTTGTCTTATTCTGGGCTTGTCCCACATGGGACATGCACAAACAGCATTTAGAGCTGCACTAAGCTCCATTTCATTGGCACATTTACCAATGTCCTGCACTTTAAACTGTGGAGCCTTTAACTCTCTGTCTGCCTATGACCTACTCAAGAGTTAAAGCAATCCAAAGGGCCTCCAGTGTTTAATTTAAGCCATAATGGCGTGTGAGCAACCTTCTGTGTCCTTGGCGGTATTTAGAAAGGCTTTGCAGGGTGCTGACTTTTATAACTCACACTTGTGAGGAAATATTATACCACAGTGTTACAGCTGTGATTTGAAAGAGTGCTTATTGTTTCTCAGTAGAAATATACATTTTATCTAGCTGTGCCATGAAAATAAGCACTCTCTTTTTGTTTGACAAGTCAAAAATCCTTAAATGGTCTTGGTCAGGACCGTAAGCCTATAATCACTTATTATAGACAGTTGGACATATTTGAACTCTGAATCAAGACACTTGTGCTATACAAAACAGAGGAATGTTTCAGATTCATGATTGTGTGCTTTTAGATCTTACCTGATGAGTAACTGTAGGGCATCTGAGAGGTGTTCCTCACAGAGCTTGACGGGAGTATCATCTGTCAACAGATGTGAAAACAAAAGAACATTACTTCCTGTGTTCAACTATAACAAACATTGTCATATTTCCTGAAATATTTGTTTCATCTGTGGTACCTTTTCACATATCATTTGCAGAACAGGTACATACATTGGCTCTGCTGCCAAAGAGCATCGGTGATGCACTTGGTACCACTCCCAAAACTGGAGTGTGATAGGACATGAGTTTCTCCATATTTCTTACCTGCTCTTGTGCTTGGCCAGGCACAGGCAGTAACTTTAGTCTTGACACAGCCTCGGCTCTCTGCTCTGCTTGGCTCTGAGGAGTTTCCATTTCCAGACCCAGAGCCTGTCCCTGGGGATTGGTCAGAACCAGGCTTCTCCTGCAGCGCCTGCCCATGGGAGGGGTGTGGAGCTGGAAGGAAGAGGGTAGAAGCTGAGGGCCCTGCTGCGGCTGGTGCTCGATCATCTCTTGCCAGTTCTGGTGCTAAAGAACAGAGGGAGATGTGTCAAAGTAGTGCAGCTATAAGCATGAAAAACAGGAGTATAGATGATTAAGCATAAGTTCAACTGATACTCAAATAGATCTTTGGTCAATATGGATAAAATTGCACCGAATGAATTCTGGTAAACAACTCTAAATTTATAAATTTAGATTTAGTAATGGTTAAATTTTGAAATGAAAAAGTAACAACATACTATGAATGACCACTTTCATTAACAATCATAGCTGCCACTTGACCAAAGAGTAACAAATAAAATAAATTTGACTTTAGAATGGAAATGTACACAGATATTTATACATGTAAGTCAAAGATAAAGGTAGATGTTTAGCAGTCAGCCTGATTATGCAGACTTCCTGATGAAATTACTGGGCGTTGCTAAATCTTTGCATTGACAGCACCTGATTTTTCTTATGTGTGTGTATGTGTGTGCACTGCTCGATATTAGACAGACCACACAGGTGTAAAATGAACCTATGGATTCAGTATCATTGACCCACTTACCACTGGCCTGGCGTCACTCAGGGAGTAGATTTCAGGGCTACAGGGCTCATCGTACAGGGGTGACAAGGGTTGTCGCGGGGCACACATGTCAGAGTGGCGTTGGGGTGTGTTCAGGGAGGAGTTCAGGGATGTCTGAGGGGTGCTCCAGCTCTTAGACTGATTATAAAAGATTCAAACAGATCTGGGAGTTAGTTTAAAACACCATATCCCTGTCTCTTTATTTGTCTTGTCTTTCCAGCTCTTCAGGTTCACATAAGACAATCACATAAGCCATGCTTAGTTTTTGGATTTAGGATCATATTTCCGAGGAGACGTTTTGGACGAATACTATTCACAGTCTTCAGTACTTCTGGTCATCTGTCAGTGTTGTGTACAAAAACTGTACTCTTAACTGCAACGGTAATGTGGTAGTACCCCATAGGTATGGTAAATATTTTGTCATTGTTGGCTTAGGTTTTGTTTATGAACTATAACAGAGACTTCATTTCTTGCACAATCAAGTAGATTGACCTCTCCATCATACGTCACCATATGCATCATGACAACTCTCAGCCAAATGCATGGTGCATCTATTTTAGTTAGTGCACACATGATACGTAAAAAAAAAAAAAAAAAAAAAGTTGCCTGTCTCAAGGGGAATATCCAGTTATCAAGTTAGACGCCAGACTAAATTACCTTGACAAGCGGGGCCTTCTCCACCCGTTGTGGGTTGGCACGGTGCAGGGCAGAGTAGGGTCTGCTGTAGATCTGAGACGGGACTGAGCTCTCTGCAGGCTGGAGGTAGGAGCTGTGCTGCGGGGAGGAGTAGCGCAGTGAAAAAGGTAGTCGGTCACTCTCAGGCCTGGTGTGGGAAGACACACTGTTGGTCCTGCTGCCCAGGTGGGCAGTCTCACTTGAGCAGGGACGGCTGGAGTTGTACTGCAGGAACAGCAAATGCATATGGGGCTTTATGACACAGGTAGCATCAGGTACTTTAAATGTTGAGTCCTAGTAAAGCAACTAATACACAGTAAACTGTTTCTGTGACTTATAGTTTAAAGTTTTCTGCATCATTTTGTGTGTTGTTTTTTTTTTGTCTCCATCAATTTAATTGGGAGAGTGGTGGTTCAGATCAGAAGCTGGACAACAACATGTCTTCTGGGCACTGAGCCCTCTCCACTTTACATTAATTTGATGGGCAGTTGGCCTACATAGCCTGTCTCCTGGGGGGCTTTGGTCAAAATGTCCTGATAATGCAGAGTGCTGCTGTACCTCTTAGAGTTTGAAGTTATTAAGCAAACTTTTCAGCGCTGAATCAGCTTTTATGTGGAGTTGTGTTTATAGGTGGATGTTGTTTTGGGAAATCTTACTGACTTTGTTTTTACTGGAAGGTTTGAGGATTATCACCTGAGCCTTTGTAGCTATAACAGGAGTGGTTTGGTCTTTATAGCTCAATTAATAATTAACTTTGTAAAAGAAGGTGTTGCTGCTCAACTCCACCAACACGTTTTTTTTCTTTGCCATGTGCAGCTAATTCCTACTATAGTTACATTTGTGCAGTTAATTAAGTGTTGGTGTGTTTGAGTTCATCAATTCACACAGCTGGCTTACACAGTAGGGTTCGGTGTATCCTGGGGACAGAGGGTTGTCTTCATGAATGGGTAACTGAAGGTTGTGGGACCCGTGCCCACTCCGTGACTGGCTAAACTTTACAGACTCAGTTCGTCCTTGGCTGTTTCCACTCCACCTGTCAAACTGTGGAGCCTAGAGAATAAGGGATAAAAAAAAAATTATATTATAAATGAGTATGTCTGACCAAATGAGCAAATCTTGACCCTTTTTGTCTTTTACATGCTTCTGTTGGATTGTCTTAGTCATGTTAGATGTTAATTTACAAAAGAGGCAGGGCCATGTTATCAGTCTCCTTTCTCCTTTTCCTCATACTTGAATTCACTGCAGGTAGGTGAACCTGCAGGTAGGTGAACCTGCCTACCTGCAGGTTCACAAAGCAGGTGGAGCTCGATAGTTATGAATCATCAGGAGCTATGAACAGTAATTGTCCTTGTGTTTGGCCCATGAAAGGAAGGAGGGTGGACTTCACCTCTCTCTGTGTTGGGGTGTAGATTATGTCATACACAGGGGGCGGGGGGCTGAGAATGGGCACGTCAGCAACTTTAAAATGCTGGATCCATTCGCAGAACTCAGCCCTATCCAGACACGACACCACAATAGGGTTGATCAGCTTCCCTGTGAAGAGAGAAAAGGAGGACAAAGCCTGTCATTTGCTTCAGTTGCTCACTGGAATGTGATATAGTCAGATTGTCATTTACTGGGGATAAAACCAGCTCATTCATGGAGGGTTATGCTCTGTGACGCAAGTAAGTTCACTGAAAGGGCCACTTAGTGCAAACGTGCATAAGAATTTAAATTAAAATCCTGTTAACAAGTCTGTCTCAATGCCAGTGTGTAGTAGGGTAGCTCTCTGATTCAGTTTATTTACCTTCAATCATAAATGTGTTGGGTTTGACGTCTTGGCAGGGTGTGGTCACAGTGATCATGTTGAGCGGAAGCTTCCCCTGCAATCATAAGACTGTTAAGCACAGCTTTTTCATGGACACAATGGAAATACTGCACAGTGTGTACATAGCTTAGAATATGATTAAGTATAAGAGGAAAAGGTTAGTGAGTTCAGTAATACCTTATAGAAGAGCCCATCGTTCTCCTCTGATAGGATGATCAGCGTTGATGGGTACATCACCAATAGTCTGTCACTCTGTTCCTGTGGACATGGGAGCAGAGCTGCTGGTGAGCGTTATTCATGTGTGTAGTTGTCTCTTTTTGCAGTAATGGGATAGTATTTAATTATTTGCATCCATTAGTAGCATACTAGAGTCATTTATCTGCAATACCACTTGTATATAATCTCTATATAATTTTCAGTCATAAACAGGAAGGCAATGTTGCAACATTTCTAAGGCAATGAGGTATTGTGTGCTTGTGGAGATGAGCATTTTTCCCATTGAGTGCTAGATGAAAATAAAATTCTTGAGTCTGGCACAATGAAATCAAAGAGAAACTTAGAATTTTAACTTTCACATATCTGTCTTTGGAAGTACAGGTTATTATATTATGCAGGAAAGAATGACACCAAATACTTTCTACCAGAAGTACAAAACAAGCCATAATAATACATTTGTTATGCCTGAATGAAGATAAGACTATGAATAATACAAAGAATAGAGGCAACCTTGAGACCTAGTGCAAACACTGAGATACACCAGTGTTATCCTTTAATGCTCGGTTAAGAGGAACAAAATAAATGCCAGAAAGATCTTCAGTCAAACCAGTGAGGGGTATTTAAAGGTGCGGCGAGTTTATTTCTTTTCCTGCTTGGAGGGTGTGTCTGAAGAGACAGCTGACATTCCAGCTGTAAGGTGAGTTGAGTCACTGCAGGAGCCAGGCAAATACCTCTCACACACCCAGGCCCTAAATCTCACACACATCAGTAAGGCTGCCGCTGTTTCCCACAGAGAATTAATTGCAGATATTCAACCAAGCTCTGTCATTTTTATTGGTTGTTACAGTATGTGAAGCTTTATCAGCATTATTTATTTGTGCTCTTGTCTGAGTTGGTTAGCAAGGAGTCATATATTTCATCACTTGGTTTTAGGTGTCTGACACTGTGTTAAGCCTTAATAAGAAAATTTAAGATTATATTTGCAGAACAAGTTTCATTCGCCAAAAATATGCACTTGACCTGTTTCACTCACTCTTTACATTGTGCTGAGGCAATGTGTGTGCATTGCGCATTTGAAAAACCATGAGTCACCTGAATTTAGAAGTGATGTTATCCATTGTTTATAAAAATTCCCAGACTTTAAAAACATGTATGTATCATGGGTTACTGTCTGCTGCACTGTAGGTTTCCATAACAGTCAGTGATATTCAATTAAATGTGCCACAGAACAGGACAGCATTCATATGGAGGCTCAGTACACGAATTAAATGATGTTAACCCATTATTTGGCCCCAGAGAGGGGGTGTCAGGTCATGCTGTCCTAAATCTTCAGAGCCCCACAATAAGCAGCACCATTCTCCAGACCTAACGTACCCTTAGTACAAAGCTTCTCTTAACCCTTTCCTCACCCAAGCAAAGAGCAGATATGTGGCCTGACTCACACTGTTTGCATTGTATTTGCTCAGGTTGAGCAGTAGCTGGCCCAACCAGCTTGTAATGATAGTCACCTCTGAGAGCCAGGTTTGCTCAGTTGTCCAACCCCTGACACTGTTCTACCAGGATTGGCTAACAAAATAAGGCTGTTAACAATTCCATTGAGTCTGTAACTATATTATCACCAACATGAATACAACTTCTGTGTGGATGTAGGCGTGAAGGCAAGTCTACAAGGTCATCAGGTGGGCACCCTCTCACTAACTGGTGTTTTATTGACACTGAGAAGGCTCAACAGTGTGTTCCAGTGTCCCAGAACCAACCCCCTTTGCCTGCACCCACATACCCAACACAATCCTTCATCTACTCAGGCTATTTCAGGCTAACTGTTACTAAACACTCAGAGCAGGGATAGTATGTTTTACTTCTGTGTGATATTAATAGTGATTATTTCTTGATAAGTAATGATGTTGTACCTGACAGGGCAGGTGCTGCAGTCTAACTTTGGTTACATAGGTGATGAGGCCCAGGCTGTCCCGCTGAGAGCCCTCCCACTCATAGATTGGCTCTCTGTTGATGGAGTTCCTCAGCTCCTCTCTGCCTTCAGGAGCCTCACCCTGGTTTAACTATAGTAGGTACACACAGGATAACAGAGAGAATCAACATGGTCAGTGTGAACAGAGCACTGCCGTTAAGCAAAATTAAACATGTTAATGTGGCTGTTTTTTCATAAAGCTTCCAAGCTAAGGCTTATAAAAGCATCATCAGTTCAGTTATGACACATCTAGGTTAATGTGTTTCATCAGTCATTTCCCCACCTGTGGGTGTGGAGTCAGCTCCTTAACACTGTGCAGCTGTGAGGGTTAGTTTAATGTAGGATGTGATGTGGTCAAGGCCACAGCGAGACCTAGTTGACTCACCAAATCTACATGCTCACACACATCCTGTTATATCAGAAGTGGTTGTAGCCAAAGTATTGTCTTGGCTAATCCACCAGGTGGATAAGAAAATGACCACATCTACTGTATGTTAAGAATTGTTGCAGCTTGATGTAATGTAATATAGGATATAGGGAGCAAGGTGGCATCAAGTGTTGGTGAACTTACTTTCACTCTAGTGTAGTTTTCAGGTGCAATTGCAGTGCCTCCATTGACCTCAATATTTTCTTTGAGCAAGCCAAACCATAGGTCCATTTCTTTTTGGTTGGCACAGTAGACGATGATGGGGTTAAGGCTGACACCTGCAGGGTGCAAAGGTTACAATCTCAGAAAGTGTCAAGAAAAGCTCTCTGCCATGGTGGTGAATCATTAATGGGGTTCACACTCTGCTTCACAAGTTATACAGTAAGTACAATAAATATTAACACATGCTCAGGACAGTAAACCAAATGTAAGACCTATTGTGGAAGATCCTCCTTGACATGCTTTGTTTGGCATTTAATCTAATTTATTCTAATCATAGCAGACTATCCCTCCCACACACTGCTTCCCCATGAGGAATGAGAGATGAAAAGAGCTGGAATCTCCCCTCTGTATCAGTCCCACACATACCAGAGATAAGCAGCACAGATTCCAGCCCCATGGCTTTGTACTGTGATTGTCTGGAACCATGACCTGCTCACTGCTCCCTAATAAGGAGCTACCCTGAACTCATGTGTTGACTGTCTCTTCATTCCAACTCTTAATAGTAGACCTTGATCATACTCCCTTGAAAAGTTGTGTTTTTCCAAAGTGCAAGCAAGACGAGCGATGTGAAGGCTCTTGGGACTGGAAGGACATAATCAGACTGTTTCTCATTCAGACGTGTAGTCAGTTTAAAGAGGTCAGTAGCTAGTGTTAAAGGAATCAACTATCAATTCACATCACTACACGAGAGCTCTCACTTGACTCAGAATTTTGTCACACTTCCTCTACATAAATTCCATCAGTGATTCATCCCATAAGGTAAATAACAGTTTACACTGAACACTGAAAACACTTGAAACAATACCCTAAAATAATAATCTTATTCTGGGAAAGGAGTGTCAATATTGTGACAGCAGAGATGTTTCAGAGTTCAGTGAAATAGTAATGATAAAGTAACAAACAAAGAAACCTTACACTCTTCATGACTGGGATCGACTTTTCACACAGATGTTTCTTTCTTTCTTTCTTTTTTTTTTTTAAGACCAAAACCCCCAGATCCTTGATTTCTATCTTTATGTAATGACATCAAATTTCAGAATGCTCTGTCTGCTCAAAGTTCAAAAGCTAAGTGGCATTTTTGCAAAACATTAAGATAAGCACTTTTTGGAATGTGCCATAGATTATATGCAGTAACGAGATTAAGAGCGGTAGCTAGGCATGTCTGTGCAACAGCTGGGCTGACAGAAATGCACCTGTTGTCTAACAAGTGGGGCCTTGAAGGCTGGTTTAGACCTCTGACCAGGGGTGAATAGGGGCTTAGCTCTAGTTAGTCTTGGGGTTGAGTGGAAGTGAAGAGGGTCATGGCACCTTTGAATCACTGGAATGTGACAGTATAGGAATAGCATGTGGTTTCTTTCTGGATTTTAGGCAATGAGACTTTTTTTAAATTTTATTTTGATGACAGGGACAAATGAGCCAAAGACCAAAACACTTGCGCAGCCGTCTTCCATCTGTTGAAGTTTGAAAGCAGCCACTGACTTGTCAACATCCTACTGGATTAGCTGATTCCAGTCTGAGTAATAGATTTGCTATATTCAGCTCAACCAATAGAAGTCAATACAGGTAATTATGCTCGCATTCTTTCTAGTGACGTTGAGCTCACCGTTTATTTGAAAGGCGAAATCCTGGGGTTGGCTGTGGTTGCAGTTCTGTTGCAAGTTGCAGATGGTGATTTCTTTCAATGGAAGAGTTCCCTGTGCACCAGAGAACAAAGTTTTGTCAGGCGTTTTTGGACAAAAACATTCTTTAATTCACTTAAAAAAGCCATCTTTGCAACATTTCCCTTGCTGCCCTGCTCTCTATATTTTTGTCCTCCCCAGCTACATACAGGAGAGGGTCAGAATATTAGGAACACCTCTGAATATAATGTAGTCCTGTACAACACCACCTTTAACTAAGGCTACCTGAGTGCCTCTTTGTTGATTTCCACAACACACTTCAATAATAAACATATAATTGAATATATATATTTATGACAACTTTACCAAAAACTGAAACATTTTGAGCTTCAAAACACAGATGTTAAGGTAGAAGTGTTGCATTGAAGTGCATACAATTGTACAGGTGTACCTAATAAAGTGGCTGGTGGGTGTGTATAGACATAGAAATGAACTCTGAAGAGACAGTAAAAGATGACTAATGCCAGTCATACGTATGAGACAAGTGATGAAGCATAATCTTTCTTTGTTTACTAACACACTGGCACGCATGTCAGGAGTTATGATGATGTAACAAAAACTGCTCCACAGCAGCCACAGCAGTATCAATACTATAAAAATGTATCCTGAAAAGTTGATACTGAGGAATCATTTTAAGGAAGAGATGTGATTGTTGTTATAATTGCCTGAGTTAATAAAAAACCTACTTGGTATGTCAGTCCAGTTGTGTTGTTGGATACAAAATGAAGGTGTGTCTGGAAGAGATCCAGGTAGCAATCATGTATATCCTGCAGAGATAAGTAAAAGCGAAGGGTTAAAATGTTATACGTACAGTATTGATCAAATGAGTCTGGACTGAAAATCAGTGTCTTGCAATTCAGGGTTTAAATTCAGCCCAAACAGAAACAGTACCTGCTTTCACAGACTGGCACACTTTCAGTTACAAAACTAATTGATAAAATCAGCTGGTTTAATGTTGATGAAATGAAACTGTGAAGACACGAAGACACCTCTGGGAGCCCTTTTTGATGTTGTCTCAGATGACGAAAGGGTCATATTTTAAAGCCAAATAAGCTTCATGACTGCAATCTTAAGATTAACTGTTCTTTAAATCAGTGCCAGGGGTGATGTCTGTTTTTTTTTTTTTTTTACTTCATGTTAAAACATCTTATATCCATCATCTGTGGAGCACCCATAGGAAATGTTGTGATATACAAGGAGAGACAAGGATTCCTCTTAAAGCATTTTCTTGTATGGCAACAAAATGTAATTTAAATTGACTAGTTTTTTCTAATCCTCTCTTTCTAATGGTTTAATGGCTTTCTTTGTCAACACTTACACATTATGTTTCCTTTGCATTATTGTTTTCTGTTATAATATAGAGAGTGTTCCTTTGTCATCATGACGCCATTCCTTCATTCAATCTTTTCTTTGTGATTTTTGACAGCTGTGTCATAGTTCTTACAAATTGCAGTTCCCACAGTGAGGAGCCGGCATGTCCTGTATCAGTCCCTGGGATCAGAAGCATTCTCTCTACCCTGAGGTTTTCTCTCAGAGGTGTTTCACAACAGCCACCGAAGTGAGCATGTCCAAACACAGGTTGCGGTCTGCTGTGTGGAAGACTGATTGTTCACATCCAGCCACCACGTCAATGCAGCAAGGAGTTTCGGTGTGCTTGGTGGCCGTAGAGCAACATCCTGTTACTTCCCAGTTGTTTTTTTTTTTTTGGTTTTGACACTGGTTCACGCGGATGACTGATACGATGTGTCATTGTAGGCTTGGTCATTGTTTAAGACCTCATTAACCACTATGAGGATTGTGCAGCATGACCTTGTTTTCTTTACAGTGCTGTTACTTTCCTGTTGTTTCAACGTGGAGTTATTAAAAAGTTATTTTGTTCCACTCACCTGGCAGTGGAGGAAGCGGAAACGAACTTTGGAGCTGTGAATCATCCGTCCATAATTCTTCACATTGATGCTGCTCTTCTTCCAGCCACTGGCTGGGTCATAAGGAAACGGAGGATCCCATTTTATGTTGTCTATCGTCTCCAGATCTTTAGAGGACATTTCCTGCAACCAGTCGTAATGTTAGTGAAGTTTAGATGCGACATGAATAAACCAGTTAGACCTGTTATTAAACTCATTCACAGACATGGCAGTTAACAGTCACATACAGGTTGACATGTATAGGAGATTAGGTTTTTTCTGTGATATGCAGATGACTGTGTTTCCTGTTATTGCCGTTTCCTACAAGCTGATGGAGCTTCTTACCTTCCTTGGTGTCACAGTACACAGGATATTGATGATGCTGTTAGATTTCTCCTGTCCCTCTTGGGGATTATTCTTGCGAAACAAGCGGCTGCTGCATGAGAGATAGAGAAAACTTGTTAACACTCACTCTTCAATGTTTACTTTCTATTCCATGTTTGCTTTTCAGTTGTCATCCCAACTGCAAAGTCAACCAGGAACATCTCAACCCTTAACGGAATTGTTAGATGGAGAGTTGATCTACATACAACACTCTTTGTCCTAGTGTTTTGCATATCACAGTCAGGGTCAGTGACGTATTTCTTTGTTTAACCCTATTTTTTTCAGAGTAATCAAGTGATGCACTGAATCTTGACCTACTGACTGTGTTACATTTTCACAGCAGCTTAATGACTTTTAATCATGTTTTGTGACTCATGTCATATAAATAAACCAGGACCCATTTTTTTGTCCTCAGTCCATCAATGCCAACCATTTAAACAATAAGAACAATCAGGACTTGTGCTTTTGATAGTGAGGATATGCACAGGCAAATCAGCATTCAATGTCCCTCTTTGTTTTGCATGAGCCTCATCTGCAACCATTAGTGTCACATCTTTGTGTGGAAGCTCCCTCGCTGCAATGATAAGACTTGAGGACTGCGATCTCAGCTCGTAGTTTATTTGCTTATCTGCACATATGAGTGCCAGTGTCTTCAGGGCAACAGTGCAGGCTTTTGTTTGCATGGTGGGAATCAAGGTCTGTCTAGTCAGGAAGTCCATGTTCAGCATCAATCATTGATTAGTGTGTAGTGAATGATGCTATTCCATTGAGTGAATCCATTTAAATTTTACTCTCAGAGAGAAAAATATGAAAACCATGCCCAATGATGCAACCTGTAGTTGCAAACTGAAAGAGGAATGTAGATATTAGACAGGTAGTGGATTTGCACACCCAGCATTCTCCAAGTCACTTGCATTCAGTGCCACTCACTCCCCCTCTCTGGGGAAAATACCTGAGCTTCATCTGATTCAACAACACAAAGAGTAAGATACAAGGGAAACAGGAACACTGAATGTATTGTTCATACTGAACCCTGAGTCCACCTTCGAAGTTGTATCATTGCTCAAGCCTGAGCCATTGGGTTTTTGAAAGTCAATGGTTTTTTGAGTGTTGCCCTGCCTTTTTTTAATTTGAAAGCTAAGAATCATCACACAGCAGAAGCTAATTAGAATCAGATGTGGTGGTCCATCAGAGTGGGCTGTACTAAGCTTGACATGCCCAGGCATATAATCCTTAAGAATTAAAGAAAGCCAGACAGACAACCAAGTATAACCCGTCAATGCTCGACGTTTCCTGTATTTATGTTCAAAGCCTTCAGGCCAGATCCCTACAAGCTATTATCTAATATGTCAAGAGTCATAAACCAGATCATTTAATAACTATAACTGCCCACTTGTGATCTTGATAATGAATGGAGGTCAGGTCTTAATTCTGGAGGGAAACCAGATTCACTGACAGCTGGCAGATCATTTTCTCAGAGACGCAAAGATGTGCAAATGGTAGCTGGATCATTGACACTGTTGGCCAGACAGGCACCACTCAGGCATGACACCGGGACTGTCCTGTATTATCATATGATCCTGACCCTGGCCTCACAAAACTCACAACCTCCATCTAACCCCACTGCTTTAAACCCTGAGAAATCCCAAGAATTCCTTCCAGCTGAAATGCAGGGTCTAAAATGACAAACGGCAGTTGGGTGTGCTCTGTGTAGGGCAAATACACCAACAGAAGTACAGTCAGAATACCTGGATAAATTGGATAGTTCCTACCTGTTTCTGCGTATGAAACTCTTGCTGGAAAATCTGAAGTTGTGCTGGGGTACACATGACATGCTGCTCCCCATGCTGCTGTCCTCTGTGGGGCTTTGCGCTTCTCTGTAGATAAACCGTACTCCTTCTGTGATGGATGAGTGTAATTCAAGAGTGCAGTACACTCCTAGCTGAAGTCAGACTTGTAATGAAGGAAAACAGGGCAGTGTGAGAGCTATTGAGTCACACGTGACAGTGTGCCTGCGTAAAAAGGGTGGAGTTTGGGGCTGTGCCAAAGGCTTTTTGTATTGTGAATAATCAGCAGGACTCACACCTTCTTTGAGTTGCCTCTGTGCTTAATCAATCCCAACAACAAAGACAGGGGGGTTCATGGAGAAGTATGCCATTTCACACCTTCCAGGAGCCAAATGGCGCTCACTGTTGGGTCACTAAACACACTGGATGGTGTTTGTCAATCAAAGGGCTAGATGGGAGCTTCCACTGGCATGCCCAGACATGAAAAATGATTGCAGACTTAAGTAGTCTATATATTATCGGCCCACATACTTTAAACGCATCAGTGTCATTTTGAAATGTAAGTATATAAGAAGATTTATAGTACCTGTAAATTATACTGTATATTTAAGTTGTTTTTCCTAGTAAAACATCACTGTGATATTTGCCTTTAGTCCTTGATCACGTTTTGATCAGTCTGACAGTGGGATGGCAAAGGAGGACGCTTGTTCATTCAAGGGTTCTAATCTTCATAAGTCAAGAGGTTTATGCAGTCATCTTTTTTGCATGTAAGGAGCTTGTTGTTAAATGAGATACTGAGATATCAACCACCTAAAAGTGAAACTCACTTGAACAACAAGACAATTCAGTCTTTGTTCATCTGAATTTAAGGTATTATAACGTATATTGTGAAGTTAATCCGATTCAGTCAAATTAGCTTTTTTAACTTTCCCATTTAGGCCTATTAGAAGTTAAGCTAATAATAATAGGTTTGGGTTGCAACATTCATGACTCACTCTAGAAAGCATGTAATTTTCCAGGGTTGGTCATCTTAACAGTGACAAGTGGTCTTATCAGACAGACAGAGGAGTCAAACCCTCATGACCGTCTTGTGTTTGCTTATTAATTAGCTCACTATCTGTGGCGAGCTGCTGTATTCTACATGCACTGCTTGCTGTCATCTAATGTCAACCTGTTTGACCAGATTTTTAAAATGGATGCACCTCAGGCAGCAACAGTCATCAACTATAGACTCATTGTCATGTCCGCCCTCCAAGATAGTGTGTTATTGTTCTTTAAGAACCCTGTTTGATGAGCCCCAGAGCTCTTGATAAGGTCAGGTAATTTAATCAGTATAGAATACTGAACTGCATGTGGTAAAATATCTTGGTAAGTGACTGACAAGATATAAAGCAACCCAAAGAAAATATATTGTATCATATATATATAGTAAGTAGAAATAGTAAAGTAGAGAAAGTAATGAGATAAAATTGGCACAGCCAGCAAAAGCACACTATGAAATTTGTCCTAATGTATCACAACTAGGCTTATTTTAATGATCCAACAAGGACAAAAAGGTTTTATTAATTATAGGACTCTTCTCTCTTGAGAACTGTTTCCTAATTTAATCTAGATATGCAGCCACGTTAGCCAGTGTTAAAAACAGGCAATTGATTGCCAGCTAATTAAGATTTATTCTTATTTTGCTATATATTTTCATATATTCATTTGGGTAGCAGGTACTAAGCCACATTTTTTTAACAACAGCAAATATATGGGGTAAATTGATTTGGTTTCTTTTAAATCCCATAAGCAATTTAAATGAGACCTGGCACTTGGCTGAAAATATATAAAATAAATCAAAGGCAAAAAAATGCCATAGTTCACACTGAGCATTTACTTTCAGGTTTTCAGAAAATAAATATACAGTATCTGTGTATTGCCCAGGTAGCTGTTTGATAACCCTGTTCCTATTTTATTTGATTTGGATCATTTGAAAGTAATCAGATTATTTTACTAGCTAATCCATGTAATTCAGCCAGTAATGTAATCGACATGTATGTAAAAATACCTATCTGGTCTTGTTGTGGATCATGATGGTAAAGCAGGAAGATGAACCTGAAAATACATGCAGCCAGCGTAGTGACTCACCTCCCTTTCACAGAATCCCTTAAATATAAGCCAGCTAACTAGGAAAAACACCCAGGGACTTTTTTTTTTTACTGTGAGGTCAATTAAGTTTCAGTTGGATGTCTCAGGTGAGATGCATCATCCAGACTTTAACAGTATCAGGATTATTTGGTGGACTATTTCCCAGTAGTTTCACCTGTCATTGCTCAAGACAGCTATAGAACAATATGTACAGTATAAACCCCAGAGTGGAGTTTGCCATAAAAATAAAAATCTGTCCTAAGAAATACAGCAAAATATTGGAAGCTGCCTTAAACTAATCAGATGAATGTGTATTTTTTTATTATCATTAATGTTCCAACAGTGTTGCCGCAACATTAAGGAACACCAAGTATACCATGCTGTTGATGATACAACCTCAGCGAGTTTGAAGGCAGCATCATGAAGTTCTCTTCTGAGGCCATTCTTAGGCCATACTGTACATTTTTACCAAACTAGTGACAAACCAAATCTGCCTCTATTTTTCAACTATTCAATAATTTGGCTCTGGTGTGTAATGAGTGTTACAGCCTCAGGTGATGGATATGCCTCAGATTTAGCAGGGCTGCCTATAACCAGTCTGACAGCCAATCCGACAAGCATGCCTTTGTCATACAATGTTTGGCAAAGTGTGCAAGGGAGAGAAAGTAGATTGGAGTCTGTCTTCTGTGATCTCTGTTTTCATTCTTCTGTTGTAACATTTCTGTTGTTTTCATTAGTTTTGTGTGCACCAAGTACAATGTTTGCAATAGCTTGAGGTCAGACTGTCTGAAAGCTTGCACCCTATGGCTCAGTTTTGAAGTGAGACTGTTAGGAATGGCATTGAACACTTTTGTTTGACGTGGGACAGCGTATACAGGATTGTACAAAGTAGATAGTTTGAAGCAGCCTTTCTGGGTCTCTGGTGAGGCCAGCAGCAAATGAACCTGTTGTTATATAACTCACTTTGTGGGTCAGTTTAGATTACTGCATTAGATTTCACTCCTACAGTTTTGTGTCACATTGCTTAACAGGAAGGGGAAATGCCAGGTGCTTTGCCAAAAGCAGCACTGTGTATCTAGAAAGAGAACTAACCCATTCATTGTTTCCTGTTCCGTTTTGTATGATGGGGCTCAAGATTCCTGAATGAGCTGTTTCCTTGCATTTGCACACACAGTTTGCTATTAAAATTTATGTTGTATATCTCAAATTTTCAGTATATGTTTACTAAAATAATATATATCTCATTGTGCCTCCTTTAGATCAGACTATATGTAATTGTACCATTCTAAATTATAGTTAATTCGGAATGGAGTTTACACCATCTCTTTAATTTTATTGGCTGTATCACATCTGTTCAAAAGCAGAAACCTAAATTCAATTTTTATAATCTCATTCCCTCCTTGTGTGGTAGGTTGAACTTTGGCTCTCCCTGAGAAGTCACTTGCTGGTATTTATCCATACTCAGTGGGTGACTTCAGTGGTGCTAAAGTCACACCTCAGGCCACTTAAACGGAGTCTGGATATGAGGCCCCCAACATCAGGTGTCCAACAGAGAGTCTGCCGTGCCAAAGTTCTCACACAGGATAACTAAAGAAATCTTAATTGGACCCTGGCCCTCCTTTGAAGACGAGATCAGTCAAAGTCTGATTAATTGTTTCTAAATTCAGTCTATGTCTTTTTGTCACATACCACAAGCTTACCTGATTATAGTAAACTAGTGAAATCATCAAAAAGAACTATTTATTTAGAGGTAACGAATATGCACATAGACACAGACATGCAGAAAATATTTTTAATCCATAACTTTCACTTCTAAAAATGCAGCAAAACAAATTAGAAGAATGTGTTGTGACAGCATGTCAAACAAGGTTCATGATTTCCTTGAAGCTGTTGATGTCTTAACTGTTAAAAACAAACAAAAAAAACTGTGGCTGGCTGCAGTTATCAACCTATAATGCCATGTAAATACTTTCATTTTTGTATCTTTGTTAAATATAATCCATACTGCAAATAAATAGAAGGAATGATAGATATAAAGAGAGATAGATACTTTATTACAGACTCAAGGTCCAGATGTATAAATACTAAAAAACAATTAAACCACAGAACAATCAGCAATAAATAACAATAAAAAGACAACCAATAAACGACTACCCTTTTAAAAGGCAGGTATACCAGTGTTTCCGAAGTACTGAAGTATATCGCATGTCACTATATGCAATATTAGTCAGCAATAAAACAATGTTGTTTCCAGAACTATTCAAACGACAAATAAATTTATACATCAAATTCCTTAAAACAGCAGATAGTGTACTGATCCGAGATGACACAAACAATTCACTGGCACTCATCCATCTAGGCTTTTTCAATAATAACCTCAAGGCGTCATTATAGGCCACTGTCAGTTTCCTAAGACTGCCTTTTTTATAATTATACCATAGATGAGCAGTGTACAGGGAGGTACAGTACGCTCTAAACAAAGTCAATTTTACTCCATCCGAGCACGAACCAAATTTCCGAACCAACACATTTGCTTGTGCATACAACATGCGGCACTGCCGATACATATCCCCATCATCAGACAAGCAATCATTATAACATGGCCCAAGTACTTAACTTCATTACACACAGTTAAAATGTTACCAGATAACTTAAAAAAAGGGAATGCAAGGGACATGTCCTCTTTTGTGTGGCATATCATAATAACACTTTTAGCAGAATTGTATTTGACATGGTGAATTCAAGTATTGTATGAATATATAAAAATACATAACTTTGGGAAATTAAAAAAACTGATGGTAAAGCCAACATGTTTACATATTGTTAAATGTTTTCTGTTAGTGTTGCTTAGGATGCACGTGCAAATACTGCTTTATTCTAACAAACAGAGCAGCCGTCTTGTGTTTAGCATGTCGTGATTTTTTTTCTACATTTTACATTTAATGTACCAGTGTTATAATTTTGCAGTTTGTAGACTCAAGCAGGCAGTTACCATCCTGTGGAGATGTGAAACTAACAAAATGTAATTAATGTTTATCAAGAATAGAATTGAATACATGTGAATAATACTATTAGTTAAATATTTGAAATTGAGTGGAACAACCATAAGGCTTTATACTTTTTCATCAACCCACTGAACTTAATTAAAACCTAATTTACTGTTGTTTTAACTAGCCCATTTGCTATTCTACTCCTTCATTCCCCTATCTTATAATTGGTCTATTATATTTTACTGTTTTACTTGTCTGATATCTTTGTCCAGAAACATGCAAGTTGTCTGACATTACCTTAAAATGGTTTTGTAACAATTGTCAAACATCTTTCAAACCTGAAACACACTGTAATTTGGTTCTTTAATTACATCTACTTTTTGAATTGAGTAGTTGTTACTTGGCTGCAGAGATATTGTATTGTAAAGTGTTTCTGTTAATTTGTCCACCCACTGTG